AGAAGAAAGGAATTTCCTACTGCGACCAGGGAGAACCAGGCATCCCTGATCCCCAAGGGGCTAGTGGTTGTCCAGGCATCCTGAGAAACCCAAAAATACCTCTAGGCATAGGTCATGTGAGGTGTCCCTATACCTGGCATGCACAGGAGGTCCCATGGCTCACCTGAGCATGCATAGGCATCCCTATGGCTCAGCTTTGTACCTGTCCCCGGCTCTGGGAACAGTAGTGGGGGAGAAGGGGGGGAGGCATCAGGCCCTGAACTTTGGGATAGACTTCTCTTGACTGAGCATCCTGATAACCTCACTTCCAGTGGCTCTGAGAGGAGATGAAGTGAAGTGTCTCAGTGTGGAGATGCTGAATTAGATGGATTGTAAGATTGAGCCAAAAGCCAAGTTCTCATTCTTGGCAGTCTCTTAGGTGCCCTCAGAATGGCTTAAGTCCTAGGTGACCCTGGCTGGCATAGACAGACCCAAAAGACCCACTTGTCCCAAAGAAGAGGGTGATAGGCATGAAAGGTAAGAGAGCAAGAGTGTAAAAGTTGGGGGTCCAGATGTGAACGAAAAAGCAAGAGAAGAGAAATAGGTTTGCAGACAGGATAGTCATGGAAGTAAGAGTAAGAAGTGTTAGACTGAGTCACGGAGGAGCTGTCAGGGAACACTGTGAGTAGAGGAAATGGATCCTTGGAAGTTGAGACTACAACCTATGGGGAGAAGTTGCTGTAGGGTGAGGTGAATTGTTTTGTTTCACAGTGTACCTTAATGCATGGACATTGTTTTGAGGTTGGCAGGTGGCCTAGAGCCAATCTAACTTGTTCTGTGACCAACCAATCTTCACATGGGAGACTTACTGTACGTGGTGACTGCCCTAGTGGCTTTTAAATAGTTAACCCATGCCCACCAAGGAAGCGGCAAGAACAACCAAGGATCCAAGAGAAAAAGACAATGAGTGCCTTAAAGTAGCATAGAATTCCTCTTTACCATATCTAGTGTTAAGAGCCCCTTCATGGTCACCAAAATGTTATCAGGCAGTCCAATCCAGAGAGATCTCCCTGCACACTAGGTGAGACCCAAACCCATGGGAGGGTTTATGATTCTGATCGGGAAAGAATTCATGAGCAGGTCGAGCAGGTACAAGCAAAGAGTAGTTTAATAAAGCAAAGTACACACTAAAGGAGGGAGTGCAGTCATGCTCCAGAGGTGAGCAGCCCCCTCACTACTTCTATTCAATGTTGTACAAGAGGTTCAAACCTTGGCATTTAGGCAATAAAAAGAAACCAAAGTTATTCAGATTGTAAAAGGATGTTAAAGTATCTGTGTTTGCAGATGACATGATATTGTGTATAGAAAATCCTAAGGAATCTACAAAACAGAGTTTGAAGTAAATTCAGCAAGGTAACAAAATATAGCATTTAAAAAAATATTAGTTGTATTTCTACATACTACCAGTGAATAATCTGAACCTGGAGTTAAGAAAATAATTCTATTTAAAATAGCATCAAAAAGAGTAAAATACTTAACAAAATTATGTACATTATAAATTGTAAGACATTGTTGAAAGAAATTAGAGCTCTAAATAAATAGAAAAACATCTCATGTTCATAGAGTTGAAGACTTAATATTATGAGGATGGTATTACTAACCAAAATGATCTGCAGATTCAATGCATTCCCTGTCAGGACCCCAGCTGGCTTCTTTGCAGAAATTGACAAGCTGATCCTAAAAATCATATGGAAATTCAAGGAGCTCCAAATAGCCAAAACAAATTCATAAAAGAACAAATTGAGAAGACACACACTTCACAGTTTCAGAACTTAACTACAAAACTTCAATGATCAACATAATGTGTTTCTGGCATATGAATAGATATATAGGTCAGTGGAATAGAATTGAGTGTCCAGAGGTAAAATTTATGGCCAATGATTTTTCCCAAAGGAAGTTTGACCCCTTCCTTTAAATACCATCTTAAAAAGTTTTACTTGAAATGGACCATAGACCTAAAAGTGAGTTCTAAAACCATACAGTTTTTGGAAGAAAACATTAGAGTAAATCTTCACGATGTTGAGTTAGCCAGTCGTTTGTTTTGTTTTGTTTTGTTTTTGATAAAATATCAAAAGCACAAATGACAAAATAGATACATTGAAATTCATTAAAATTAAAAAAACTTGTGCACTGCTGACAGTATCAAGAAGTGGTAAGAAAAGTCACTGATGGGAGAAAATATTTGCAAATCATATATCTTATAATGGACTTGTACCCAGACACAATGTCAAGAATTCTTAAAACTCACAGTAAAAAGATTTATACCCTGATTAAAAACTGGGCAAAGCATATGAATGACATTTTTCCCAAGAAGGTACAATGGCCAATACGCCCATGAAAAGATGCTCAACACCATTAGTCATTAGGGAACTGCAAATCAAAACCGTAAGGTATCACTTCTCATGTTCTAGGATGGGTGTAATAATAAAAGATAAGTGTTCATGAGTATGTGAAAAAATTGGAGTCCTCATTGCTGTTGGGAATAGAAAATGGTGTAGCTGCCTTGGAAAAAGATTTGGCACTTCCTCAAAATGGTAAACATAGTTAACATATTCATAAATTCCACTCCTAGGAATATATCTAATAGAAATGAAAATAGATATCCATACAAAAAATTGTACACAGATATTAAAAACAGCAGCATTTGTATCATAAGAGATGATACAAAAAGTAGAAAGAACCCAAATTATTTATCAACTGATGAATTCATTAAATGTGGTATATCCATACAATGGAATATTATTTGGCAATATAAAAGGAAGTAAGTACTAATACGTGCTACAACTTTGGAACATTATTCAAAGATTTGGCACTTCCTCAAAATGGTAAACATAGTTAACATATTCATAAATTCCACTCCTAGGAATATATCTAATAGAAATGAAAATAGATATCCATACAAAAAATTGTACACAGATATTAAAAACAGCAGCATTTGTATCATAAGGATGATACAAAAAGTAGAAAGAACCCAAATTATTTATCAACTGATGAATTCATTAAATGTGGTATATCCATACAATGGAATATTATTTGGCAATATAAAAGGAAGTAAGTACTAATACGTGCTACAACTTTGGAACATTATTCTAGGAGAAAGAAGTCAGTTATCAAAAACCTGAATATTATATGATTCTGTTTATATGAAATGTTCATAACAGGCAAGTCTATAGAGACAAAAAGTAATATAATGGTTCACTAGGGTTGGAGCCAGTGGAAAAATGGAGAGTGATTTCCATTGGGGTGATGAAAATGTTCTAAAAGTAGGTGGAGGTTCCTATACCTCTGTAATACACTAAAAAAACATTCAATGTTACACTTTATATTGGTGAATTGTGTGGTATGTGCATTATATCTCAAAACTCTTTAAAAGCAAAACAAATAGGTGCGACTATGATTGGTATGAACCAACTAAAAGTAATCTGTATATTTCAGAGTCCAGGTTGTTAAATTGGTAATTGTTTGATTCAGGAAAGAACACATAACCACCTGCCTTACTGAGTGCTAGGTTAGGTGCTCTGTGTTGATTAGAAAGTAGCCTAAATGTCACATGAAATGTAGTTTACAGATACTCTGTTCAAAGTCTGACTGAAATGGCTGCATATAGGACTAAAAAGTGAAGTACAGTTTATGCCATCTAAATGTCTGATTTTTTTAAATTCACTAAACAATGAAGTGGCATTAATGTATAATACAGTTGAGGATTTCATTGGACTTTGTAATTAATACCTATTTGATGCTAAATCTGTATAAAAAATTACTTTTTAATAATTGCTTTAGTCCATAAAAGAGAATGTTGATACATACAACTACAATGAAGGTTTGTAATGACTTAAAATACTTAAAATGTTTTCTTTAAAAATTTTTAAACAAATTTTGTGGCAAACTTGATATGTCTTACATGGAAATGTTAAGGGACATGGTTTTAGTTTGAGTATGCAAGAGAGTTCTCCTTAAACTGTTCACAATGTATAACGATGCTCAGTGTGCCTTTGCAAAAAACATATTTTGGTTGTGCTATTTACACAGTTTGGGTGATGGAGAAGTTATGGAAAGCTGGTTGCAAATATCATTGTATTTAAAATCTTTGAAGAAGCTAGTTGTGGATTGTAACATACTTTCAGTGTCTTTACTTCCTTTTCATTGTGCCATTGTATGTCCCCTTTTTCTTATTTAGAGCACATTTAAGTTTTCTGTGATATAAATACATGCATATGTTGATATACTGCAGTGATTTAAAGTAAATTACATACACTGGAATGTAAAGAATACTTTAAAGATGTACTTTCCTTTTCTTTATACTCTTATATTCTATTATAGTTCCCTATTTGTTTATTAGGTATAATATAAGAGTAGAAGTCGGTCAATTATCAACCTAGTCTAGTGCTCCTGCAGCCTGAGAGCAGATTCTCTTAGAGTCTGGGATGAGTCTAGTACAGTATTTTGAAACTCTTTGGTCAGGACCTACATTTTTACATTGCAGTCATGTTCAAGCTTAGATATGATGTTGAAATGTTTACCCTTAGGAGACGCGTCGCAAAGCACTCTATTTTTCAATTCTTTTTTTAAAAATGTTTTGACTATTAATTTCATGACCCACTAAATATTTGAAAGCTACAGTTTGTAGAATCATGCTCTGTAAGGATAGAATTAAGAACTCAAATACATTCTTTGTGAGTTTTCCCTCCTAATAATGCTTTAGAAAGGTTTGTTTTGTTTCTGAAGAAAGCAAGTCTCATACTAGGAGGGCAAATGTAATTCTCAAATGAGATTTGGGGTTTAAGATATCTTTTTGCATTTGAGTTGTTCAAATTAAATCCTGATTTGAAGTTTTCAAATATTTAAATTGTACTAAACTGTATTGTCTTAACTGTTACTAACATTTGTGATTTTGCAACTGTGCTTTTGATATTGAATGGGGAGAGATTTTTGTGCAAATATTTTACCAAATATTTTTGCAGGGACACTTAGTCAATCTGGATGAACCAGCTTCGGGAGCTGGGCAAGAAGCTCTGCTTAAACAAGAGCAAGCAAAAATCATTCGATTCGAGAGACAAGCAGAAGAGTTCCTCAATGCAGTCTTTTACAGAAAAGGTTGGTTCCAGTGAAGAATGACATTTAGCATTTGCTTGTCTTAACATTAATCTCCTTAATTTCAATGTCATTTTTTTAAAGAGTTACTTTTAAAATACTTTTACTAGTAATACACTTTGTAATTCTCTATATTCCTTTGGTCAAGTTAAGTTGGAATAGAGTTAGACAATCAGCCTCTCTCCCTTTTCATTCTGAAGTGATGGTGCCATTAAGTTTTTAGTTAAGTAGTACTTAAAATTATTATGAAAGTCTGAAAATTGTAGTCTCAGTAGTTCTATATTTTGTTAGACAAACTTTCTTATATAAACAGTCACCGATTTTATCACTAATAACCATAAAACCAACTGTATAAAATTTTAGTAATTCCTCACTGAAGTTTCATTTGGGAAGAAAATGTAGTTATGTCTTAAAATTAGGTTTATAAACATTTTTTTCTCCTTGATACAGTCTTGTTTCACATTTTCAAAAATTATTAAAATTAGAGAAAAATTAATTATTATATAATAAAAAACTTTCCGCCATACATTTGAGGTGGCACTTAATAGCACCACCTTTTGCATTTTTTCAATTTATCTTTTTCCTTTAAACTTTTGTAAGCACATTTTACATTTATTTTCTCTATCCACAAAGCATAATTACCGTCAACCAAGACCTTCAGGAAGCTTTCTTTCATGATCCATTCCAGTGAAGAGTCCTTATCTTCAAGAAATTATAAAATGGATTTGTATTACTTACACCTTTCCTCTGGTTCCAAATGGAGGTTACTGTGATAGGTTCTAAAAAAGTTTCCTACAAGCTCCTGATAATCCTGAATATCTATTTAATCTTCGGCAGACCCAGTGATTTCACTTTCCTTAATAATTCTTGTGGTCTAGCTTATACCTCTCATTCCTTTGGTAATTCCCTCTTTCCCTCTGAAGTTTGAAGGGTGATTTTTGCCTGTAACCCTGGTTAAAATCTGAAAAGTGCTGATAGTAATGGGTTGATTGCAGTTGGACAAGGCTAGCTGGGTTTCTGCTTAGTGTTAGTAATATTTTCAAAAGGGAGTATGAGATGAAGTTTCACAAAAAATAAAGGAATGCAACAGATTATTGTTTGCAGTGACACTTAAAAAATTATTCTATCAGAACCTTTGGAAAATTAAATCTTCAGTACATTCTCACTTCTATTTAATACCCTATAGCACTCTCTGACCTGAAACTCCCAGTCAAGGTTCCCATGCTCACCTTATCATTCCCATAAAGTACCCTGAATTCCAAACTTATGTGCAAAGAGTAATTTTCTTTGTTTTATGAACATTTGATTGTTTTATTAAAGTAATTTGCATTTAATGTTTAAATGATAGAACAGTTCTGTCAGTTTATTAACTGAATAAAATATATTTACAGCTCCACTGCTGCTCTTCTCCTTTAGGATGTTTACTTAATCATGGGTCTAATGTTGCAGCAAACTTCATTATCTGAAAAGAGGAACTCCTCCACTTTTCATCCACATTTTGATTAGAAGGAGGGAGTTAATAATGTCAATCATAAGCAGATTCCTAAAGAGAATTCTGGCCTACTTCTCCGCTAAGTCCATCCTTTTGTCATGTAGGAATGACTGACATTTAAGTGCTTCTAAGTTTTCTAATTTAGAAATTAAACTTTTGGGCATATAATCTTTAGAGGAGGACTTCTTACCTTGGAATCAGTGTTAGGGTAGACTTCAGCAAATGAGAAGCCTCTGCAATTGTATGTAAAGTTAAGTTTGTGTATTTGTATACTGGCATATGATGCCCCAAAAAAACTATTGCTTTGAAATTGGAAGTTCTTCCCCCTTGCTTTGTGTATTAATATTGTTATTTTTAGATACTAATCCTTTTGGAAATGTCCCAGATGGGCAGTAGTACTCTCCACTTAATACCAAAAATGTTCGGTATCCAGAGATATGTCAGGCAATTTAGTCTGAAGAGAATATTTTGTTTTAAATTCAGAATTTTGTTTCCAAGTATTACAAATTATATGATTTCTGTAATTGAGTATAAAAAAGTTAAAAATAGCTAGGCAGAAATACAGATGCAATAAAAGTAGACCTTTGTGGTACGGACTCTATAATAAGTCCCCATTTAAGAACAGTATACCTTCTACTCTACAACTGTCATAATCATAATTCTTTTCAGCTTGCTTTGTCACTTGTTTTAGAAAATTGGACACTTTTCTAAAAGTTAGGTTTGCATTTCTGTAACATACATGTTGCGGTGATACAGCATATACATGTTTTTCTGTCGTTTTAATTTTGATCTGATTTGTTGTTTTTATTTGACTCAATGTGCATGTTCCCTAAGCATGGCTTGGTTTACAGATGTTTTTAAAATAAGTGAGAGAATAAATGAAAGAAACTTTTACACATCCTAGAAATTCAAATGGCAGAAATGTCAATGATTGCATGAACATAATTGCCTATCATGATTATGTTATTTATTCAACAAAGAGGCAAAATACACTGCAGGCATTTAAAGCTCAAAGGTAGAAATGGCTATCTTTACCTTAGAATCTTTGACCTTTCGTAAATCTTTTTATATTTATTGATCTAGTTAAACACAGAGATGTCCCATAAATAACTTCATTTTGCTTCTTATTTGGAAACTTTCTGATTTATGTATTACATAGTCTTCAACTTTACAGGGGATAAAAATATACACTATTAAAACTAGGGATTATCTACAGTCTTTCATTGGAGGGTTATATGCTATGTAAGAAAAAAAAATCGTTCTTTAGTGGAAAGTTAAAAACCCAGTGGGTAGAAAGATTTTAAAAAGCATTGTACAACTAAATGTTTATTAAAACATTTAGGAACTGTAGTCAGTGATTGTAGTAACCTCGGTAGCTTCCCTGATTGAATACCTTTATTCTTAAACCATCTAGTGTACTCATGGTCTGTATTTATAGAGAGGAAACTTAGTGTTAGAAACACTTCTTACTAAAACAACTGTTACTGGTAGAACAAACCTAGTTAAACTCCAATGATGAATTAAATAGATATTCTGATTTTATGACCATCTTCGGGTATTGAATATTGTCCTCCAGAAGAAATTTGTCTGTTCTTAGGAATCCTGTAGGTTTTGCTGATGTGTTTTTTTTGTGGAGATTTTAGATTTTGATAGAAACAATCCAGTTTTTCTCTAGATTTACAAATCAACCTAAGTTCTTTGCAGCTCCAAAATATTTTAAGTAAAGTAATTTACCATCTACAGTTAATCTTTAGAAGACCAAGGAAACTCAGGTTTTCTGAGAACTATCTTCTAAAGCCTCAGAAGTGTAATGGAGAAGTGAAGGTCACAGGTGGAACATTAAGATGATGGAGAGTTTTAATCAAGGGTCTGCCCCTAAACAGTTGTAGAAATTTGAAAAGGCCAGGTAACATTTCCCTCATTTGTTAAAAAGAAAGAAAAACAAAGTATTTGATGATGATTGATTTGATTGGTCCCTTTATTATTCAATAATATGAATACATGCTTTACACCAGACAAGTTTAGGTACTTAGTATACAGAGAGAAACAAAAATCTCTGTTCCTAAGATGCTTAAGTCTCCTGGATAGTGTGGTAATGATAGAGATGTGATGGTAATATATTTACACAAAATATTTTCCTTTTTTTTACTTTATTTTAAAATTAAAGTTAATTAGAAATGGATAACTTAGACATTTATTTCCTTACTTCTGTAGTTCTTGTGTTTAATCATTGGCAGAGTGTTTTTTAAAAAGTCATGGAAAATACAGATTTGGCATTTAAACCCCCAGTTGAGGGGTTCTAAAGTTCTGGTGCCCCAACAGTAGCATCTAGAAACTCTTCAGAAATGCTAGTTCTTAAGCTTACCTTAGAACCACTAATCAATAACTGTGGGGATTGGACACAACCCAGCTTACAAGCCCTCGAAGTGATTCTGATGACCATTAGTATGAGAACTATAGTGCATCCTGTCGTGGATCTTAATATTAAGTATCTCCTTTTGTAATTCTAAGATGCCTTCTAGCTTTTAGAAGAAAGTAAATTCAGCTCTCATGAACGAAGTAATTCATGCATTAATAATTTAGAAGAGATAACCAGGAAAAATCTAGGGGGAACCAGATGTGATCTATAGGTGGTAAACAAAAGGAGTAATTATTTCATAAAGGAGGGTTTTGGGATTTCTGTGTCAGGTAAGTGATTCTTGCCCATAAGGTATATTATTTGTTTTCCTACTATTTGATTTCATAATCCTGGGGGAGGGGAATGTTTAGAAATAATTTTAAGAAAATTACATTTTAAAAAGTCTGTGACTCAAAAGCTTAGAGATTAAAAATATGACTGAGAGGGAAGACTATTCTTAGGATATTGCATTTTAAGAAAAAAATAAAATGAAATTTTATGTCTTCTTGAAAGCTGTCTTTTTTTTTTCTTTAGCATATTGTCCCACTTTAAAAGTCAATAAATCTTTGTTTACAGACAGTCCCTGGGTCTCCGACCCCAATATTCCCTTAGTGGCCCGTGAGATCATGCAGCGAATGATCCAACAATTTGCTGCTGAATATACCTCAAAAAATAGCTCTACTCAGGACCCCAGCCAGCCCAATAGCACAAAGAACCAAAGCCTGCCGAAAGCATCTCCAGTCACCACCTCTCCCACGGCTGCAACTACTCAGAACCCTGTGCTCAGCAAACTTCTCATGGCTGACCAAGACTCACCTCTGGACCTTACTGTCAGAAAGTCTCAGTCAGAACCTAGCGAACAAGGTATGGTTTGATGTTAAGGTCTCCTCTGTCCAATCAGAATATGTTAATTTGGGGAGAAAAAAATTATTGGCAAATAGGGCACCAGTAGCAATAATAGGATAAAAACTAATGTGATTCTTAAATTATTCCTGACTATGCAGTGATAGAAAAGAACAGATAAAGTGGCTACCTTACCTATCAGTAGTTTGTAGTCATCATATCCTACCCAGGAAAATTAGGTGATTAAGGTTATACTGATCTATAAGTTACTTGATATTTATGTAAGCATTTTATACTTCCCAAAGTTTAAAAATCATATCCATTGTTTTTAAAATCCCTGTGAAAAACAAAATTTTTCCCCTTATCTATTAGTGTTCTGATATTAGCACTTGAGAAATAAATATGTATTTACTTGTTAAGTAGAAGAATCTATACTCTGCAAATGAAATCATAAGGCAAATGTATTATTTGCATTTTTAAAAAGAAACTCCTAGGGTTAGAAATAATGAGAGGACAGCAGACACACCTCAGGTTGTTAAGTCTATTCAGTATTTTATAAATACACAAACACATACATATGTGCCTGCACTGTATTATGAGTTAATCTTACAGTATTTCCAAAAGGTAATTTGTTGGTGAGGATACTAATTAAGTGAAGAACTTAAGAGGTCATCAGTTTTTCTTAACAAATATTTCTTGAAGCTTTGAAAAGTTTACTCTCTTAAAGAGATTAAATATATTCCTGTTGTTTTGTGATCTCATTTTATCTCTCATTTCACAAAAATGAAGTGAGCATTTCAATTCTGCCCTTGTTTAAACCACTACAGATTGTAAATTGGTGATGTCTGTACTAAGAGGTATTATTGTCACAGACGTCTCATAAGAGCATGCAGAAAAGTTATGAGAAGTGTGGATTTATTGGTGAGAAATACATGTCCATTTTGCAAAGTAAATAAATTTAACTATTACAAGAACCTCTTTGAAAGGACTTCCTTTTACTTTGTAATTTATGAAGGATTACACTTAATGGTCTGACTTTAGTTTCTTATTAAAGTACATTTTTTAAATAGTTTTCCTTGCTTTTTTCCTGTTTCTGTGTTCTGTGAACAGCAATCATAATCTTTAAAGTCTGAGAGATTGCCTAGCAGGAGACCTCCTAATTGTCCTGTGTTCACATTGATCAGCAACCATATTAACAAAGTTTTTATTTTTGTTGAGGATTGCTTTCTTTACAACAGATTGGTAGCTTTCATTAAACATCTCTTTGCTCCAAATATTGCATTAAAAGCTTCAGGTTTAATAAGAGAATGACAGCATAGAGGTTGTATTTAAAGTATTAATAATGGAGATTAAAATACTAAGATACTACTTAGTCTAATTTAACTTAATTATAGCTAGTTTTATGTTTATGTTGTGTTAACAGCATACTCTTACAAAGAGAAATTTTGAACTTGAAAGGATTACAGTATACAGTCTTCAAATGAAACGAAATTTTAAAAATTGTATTTCCTACATGAGTTTGTGTGTTTTCAACTTAAATCACAGTATTTTTAGTGTCAGACCCAAAATATGTTGCCTATTTGATTAGACAAAGCTTAGAAGTTTTACTAGTACTGTCTCTGGTTGAAAATATTTTAATGATACATTTGCTTGTTACATCTCTAATTGGGTTAGATAACTAATAGAATAATTGATTTTGTAAGATTACAGTTAGAGTTTTAGAAATATTAATGACTCTGAAGGACAGAACTTACTCTGTATGACTGGGCTTTTTTGGTTTGTAAACTCAGTTACGTGTTTATTTCTAACAGCCTCAAATAGTTATATTGTCCTCAGACATAAGTCCTAAGTGGGTTCTATGTTAGAGCATTTTTTAATGTAACTAGATCTTTGCTCGCCAGCTGAAAATCAGGCATTGAGTATTACCTTATCCTATTATTTTTTTAGTGGAATGGCAGCTTTTAAAGTTATCCAGACTGTTGAGTTTTCTTTTCTAGACATGCCAGTGAGGAAAAAAGGTATTTGTGGAATAAGAAAATCTTCTAATTTAATTTCTAATAATGTGAATTTGTGATTTGGAGTAGCTTTGGTAAAAAAAAAATGCTTAAACCTCTAGGTTCTCATCAGTGTCAAGACTGTTTTATTCTTCTTTCTTTCCTTAAACATTGCCCACCAAGTTATAATTGTTTATTAATTTAAAAAACTTTGCCTTTGTAAATATTGACAAGTGAGTTTTGAATTTCTGCAGAATTCTTTCAAAAGCATGAATCCAAATACATGATTTTTTACAGATGTGTTCGAAAAGTAATTAGGACACATGCAAATTATAAACAATTAACAACTGATTCATCGTACAGGCTGTCTTGTATGGTATATACATGTAATGTAGTATCTAAACTCATATTTTAAAGTGACCTATGTATTTAAAATGTTGTAAATTCAACTTTTGTGTACTTTAGTGTTTCAGGTACACTTAGCTTATGAGGAATTTCTTTTTATAATATGTATGACATTGTGGCATTAAAAACTCATATACTTTGATTAAGGTAAATTTAGAAAATGAAGACTAATAGTTCTCTTGCAGAACCTCATACTGTGTAAATTGCTGTTTCTGATATCTCACTGTATCTTCACATCTGCAGTGATAGTCTCTACATTTTCTTTTGCCTTATTAATATTTACTTCTTGGAGATAGTAGCTATAACAAGCTTTGCTAAATTTATGTCACTTCCAGAGGAAAAATATCCTCATTCTATTAATGAAGTGATTTTATACCTCAAATATATGGCTAGTATATGTGCTTAGTTGACCAGGCCTACTGCTTTGTCATTTTTAGCCTACTCAGTTCACATTTGCTCCTAGTTTTTAATATCCTCAGGTGTTTCTTTGTGTCTCCACAGACGGTGTACTTGATCTTTCCACTAAGAAAAGTCCATGTGCTGGCAGCACTTCCCTGAGCCATTCTCCAGGCTGCTCCAGTACGCAAGGGAACGGGTAAGGGAATACATTTGTAGCCTTCTAGAGTTTCATAGGGGACAATTTATCAAAGATTGGTGCCAGTCTCCCTTGTTTGTTTTCAAAAATAATCCTTCGGAGTAACACTCTTACAAATGGGCCTTCAGTAAAAATACTTTTGGTCCATCAGTCATGTAAAAGTATGATCTGTGAAATCTAGAATTGGTTAGCATAGATCACTTTAGCTATTTAAATACAAATAGTAAATGGCCAAGAATATGCCAAGAATGTCTGTGGACTTTTTGTCATTGAGCATTTAGGAGTATGAAATCCAACCTGCACAATTCCAGAGTTCAGGTGTAAAGATAATGTTATGTCTGCTGAAGGTGTTGAATGAAAATTGAGCTCCAGTATTTAACTGTGTCTCTAACGGACTGTGTTGCTATCTGGGGACTGTACGTTTTCCTCTCATTTGTTTTGGTTTTATTTTGTTTGTTAATTTGAACTGCAATTTTAATTCTTGTGTGGCAGTTCAGAAGGATGTACTTGTATTTTTTGTTTCTTAAGTGGATTAAGACTGGTTGTAGATATTGATGGATAACCATCTGATGCTGCCAAGACATTATTACATATTCAGTTTTGATAACTCTTAGCAGACTGAAGTGAATTTTCTGACCACCTAATTTTATAGTGTACAGATTGTCTTAATTCTCCCTCTGTGTATACATATTAACCATTTAGAAAAGTCAGGTATTGATGAAGATATTTAGATGCCATATTGGGAAAGCATTTCCACAAAACTGTGTTGTGACCATAAACTTCATCTAGGTATGGAAAATTACTTTAGTAAGTTAAATTAGTTAATATTTAGGTTTATTTTACTTTTAGAATATCTACATGGCAGAAAATCTTCTAATTTAATTTCTAATAATGTGAATTTGTGATTTGGAGTAGCTTTGGTAAAAAAAAAATGCTTAAACCTCTAGGTTCTCATCAGTGTCAAGACTGTTTTATTCTTCTTTCTTTCCTTAAACATTGCCCACCAAGTTATAATTGTTTATTAATTTAAAAAACTTTGCCTTTGTAAATATTGACAAGTGAGTTTTGAATTTCTGCAGAATTCTTTCAAAAGCATGAATCCAAATACATGATTTTTTACAGATGTGTTCGAAAAGTAATTAGGACACATGCAAATTATAAACAATTAACAACTGATTCATCGTACAGGCTGTCTTGTATGGTATATACATGTAATGTAGTATCTAAACTCATATTTTAAAGTGACCTATGTATTTAAAATGTTGTAAATTCAACTTTTGTGTACTTTAGTGTTTCAGGTACACTTAGCTTATGAGGAATTTCTTTTTATAATATGTATGACATTGTGGCATTAAAAACTCATATACTTTGATTAAGGTAAATTTAGAAAATGAAGACTAATAGTTCTCTTGCAGAACCTCATACTGTGTAAATTGCTGTTTCTGATATCTCACTGTATCTTCACATCTGCAGTGATAGTCTCTACATTTTCTTTTGCCTTATTAATATTTACTTCTTGGAGATAGTAGCTATAACAAGCTTTGCTAAATTTATGTCACTTCCAGAGGAAAAATATCCTCATTCTATTAATGAAGTGATTTTATACCTCAAATATATGGCTAGTATATGTGCTTAGTTGACCAGGCCTACTGCTTTGTCATTTTTAGCCTACTCAGTTCACATTTGCTCCTAGTTTTTAATATCCTCAGGTGTTTCTTTGTGTCTCCACAGACGGTGTACTTGATCTTTCCACTAAGAAAAGTCCATGTGCTGGCAGCACTTCCCTGAGCCATTCTCCAGGCTGCTCCAGTACGCAAGGGAACGGGTAAGGGAATACATTTGTAGCCTTCTAGAGTTTCATAGGGGACAATTTATCAAAGATTGGTGCCAGTCTCCCTTGTTTGTTTTCAAAAATAATCCTTCGGAGTAACACTCTTACAAATGGGCCTTCAGTAAAAATACTTTTGGTCCATCAGTCATGTAAAAGTATGATCTGTGAAATCTAGAATTGGTTAGCATAGATCACTTTAGCTATTTAAATACAAATAGTAAATGGCCAAGAATATGCCAAGAATGTCTGTGGACTTTTTGTCATTGAGCATTTAGGAGTATGAAATCCAACCTGCACAATTCCAGAGTTCAGGTGTAAAGATAATGTTATGTCTGCTGAAGGTGTTGAATGAAAATTGAGCTCCAGTATTTAACTGTGTCTCTAACGGACTGTGTTGCTATCTGGGGACTGTACGTTTTCCTCTCATTTGTTTTGGTTTTATTTTGTTTGTTAATTTGAACTGCAATTTTAATTCTTGTGTGGCAGTTCAGAAGGATGTACTTGTATTTTTTGTTTCTTAAGTGGATTAAGACTGGTTGTAGATATTGATGGATAACCATCTGATGCTGCCAAGACATTATTACATATTCAGTTTTGATAACTCTTAGCAGACTGAAGTGAATTTTCTGACCACCTAATTTTATAGTGTACAGATTGTCTTAATTCTCCCTCTGTGTATACATATTAACCATTTAGAAAAGTCAGGTATTGATGAAGATATTTAGATGCCATATTGGGAAAGCATTTCCACAAAACTGTGTTGTGACCATAAACTTCATCTAGGTATGGAAAATTACTTTAGTAAGTTAAATTAGTTAATATTTAGGTTTATTTTACTTTTAGAATATCTACATGGCAAAGTTGTTGGAATATTAAAGGTTAAGTAGACACTACATGGACTAACCATTTTCAACTTAATCTTACGTAACTTCAAATTGAAGGATTCCTTTATTGAGTTGTAAAATGCTCCCTTTATTTTCTCTAAAACTTCATCACTTTCCTTTTTCTTTTCTCTTTTAATTCAGTCTAAAAATAACTTACTAATTTAATACATTTTGCTTGGTTTACTAATCTTTTTTTCTTAAGCCCTTCTTTTCACTAAAGTTTATACTAGATATGTCATCATGGTCCGAAATCAGTGTGTTCCATTTATATATCAAAAAACTTGAGTTTTGTAATTAAGGACACATGTAAGAGAAGCTTAAGTGTGATTTGCATAAATGAATCAATCCCTTGCTTAAGATTCACTTTAAACTTGGCTACCAGGTCTATGTATTAATATGGTTGAAATTGCTGTGTTTATCCTTCTGAGTGGAAAGTGTTTTCTGTGTGGTTCTGTTTTCTGGAAGACAAAAGCACCAATAGCCTACCCATCTTTTAGGTGAATATTCATTGTTAACCGTATTATGTTATTTATTGGTAATAGCACAGAGTCCCTGTAAACTTATAGAGAATGTAGCTCGTTTATCATTATTTCTGCAAAGTCACACTTTTGTGCCTCATTAATATAATTATTCCCCTTGGGCACGCTTTACCGTGCATTACCAGTTGCCAGTTTTATCACTGAGGATCTTTCTCTATTGTGAAAAATGAAAACCTTATGAATTAACCTTGTGGAAGTAGTTGACTTTTTAAACATTCTTTGAAAGCTATACACTTAAAATTTCAAAATTGATGTTTGGTATTTTAAGAAGAGACTTCATAAACTGAAAAGTGCTACAGTATTGTTTATATACCTCTGACAATAATTACTTGAGTAAAACCTAAGGAACAAGTTTGGGGAAAATAAAGGGCAGTCTCTTTAAAACTTGGATCATTTCAGTTGGAGGATCTGTGGTACTCACGTATCTGCAGCTAATAGTATTTTAAAATGAAGCAGTGTGGTAAGTTACAATGTGATGGGTATTTCGGTTTGGGCTATTTCCCCCCCTTGGGACTGGCAACTGTGTTTTTTTCCCCATGCAAAATAAGAAATGTTATTTGTAGTTGTTTGTTTTTGATGATGAACATCAACTTGTTTGTGGGATAAATGAGCAATTATGGGTTCCACCAATGTAAGTGATTCTAGTATTATAGCTGGTTGTCATGAATGTTGAATATGTTGCATTAAAATAAATAATTTGGCTTACTCTTTTATTACTGTACTTGTTTAGTGGTAACGTCACATTGGTAACACAATTCTGTGTAGATCTATGGAGACTTGATGATTACTTTGTAATTAATAATTAAGGTGGTATTTTCAGACAGTTGCGCGAAACTTTTTCTCCGAAAATTTGTGAACCCAACCAGAGACCAGCTGACAGGTTTAATTTTTCTTTGCCCAAAAGCTCCTGGTTTTTTTTTTCTTTTTTCCTTTTTCTTTTTTTGTGAACAAGTTTTAAAACTAACTGCTGAGACCTTTTTTTTTTTAATTTTAGAGAAAAAATAAATAAATAACACAAAGTGATGTTACCCAAGCAAGGCCTTCTAATAAAGGAGTGGTCCCCTCACCCATCCCTCCCTACCTGTGCAAGTCCTGCTCACATCAGTTTCCTTCCATCCAATTAGGCGACCTGGGAGACCCAGCCAGTACCGCCCAGACGGACTTCGGAGTGGTGATGGGGTACCTCCAAGAAGCTTACAGGATGGAACCAGGGAAGGTTTTGCACACTCCACATCACTCAAAGTTCCATTGGCTCGATCCCTGCAGATTAGTGAAGAACTACTGAGCAGAAACCAATTATCCACAGCTGCCAGCCTTGGGCCATCTGGATTACAGAATCATGGACAACACTTAATATTATCCAGGGAAGCCTCTTGGGCAAAACCGCATTATGAGTTCAACCTCAGCCGTATGAAGTTCAGGGGAAATGGTGCACTCAGCAACATCAGTGACCTTCCTTTTCTTGCAGAGAATTCTGCCTTTCCAAAAATGGCACTTCAAGCAAAACAAGATGGAAAAAAGGATGCGAGCCATTCATCTCCTGTAGATTTAAAGATACCACAAGTTCGAGGAATGGATCTTTCTTGGGAGTCTCGCACTGGTGATCAGTACAGCTATAGCTCTTTGGTAATGGGTTCACAAACGGAGAGCGCGCTTAGTAAAAAATTAAGGGCTATTCTTCCAAAACAAAATAGAAAAAGCATGTTAGATGCCGGACCCGATTCTTGGGGCTCAGATGCTGAGCAG